AAACGACTGGCTCAGACCATCCACCGCCAGAGAAACACAGTTTGGAACTGGAAAATAGTAAATAGGAAGAAGGTGGTTGTCCACATTAGCAAAGGCATTGATCACACTACAACCAAGCCACTGGCACAACCATTCAAAAGATGAAGTAAGAAGTTGATGATCATTGGAAAGAGAATCCATAAGAATGTTCATAACTCCTAGCACATGACAGGCTTGGTATAACAAATACTGCAAAACTGAGTTCTTTCCTGATTGTCGATACACAACACAGATTTATATGTCTGTCTGAAGTAAACCACGGTGGTGGATTAGCTAGGGCAGGAAAAATTGAGAAGCAAGCTGAACTACCGAAAGATCCAAAAGAATGCTGTGAGATTCTAATTCCTTAGGAGACCAGGAACCCAAAATACAATGTGAACCCAGGGCAGCACCTTAACTTTTAAAATAGACATTTGTGAAGAAGTGCAGATCTGTATGAGATGGAAGAAAGGAAAACTGCAGTAGTAATTGTTTTATTTTACCAAAGAGAAGCAAGATCCCAATGCAGCAAGCACCAAGAAAATTACATTGTGTAGTGAAGCCATTGTTTTCAAAGCAGAAAAGAAGTAGGTGTGGAAGACAGAAGAGTATAGGCTCAAAACTCCAAGGCTTACCACTCCACAGGAGATGGTTGAAGTGTTGGGCCAAAATCTCAGACTTACAAAATAATTTGTTGGTCTTAAGTGAGATCTGGAGTTGTGGATGAGCCACCCAAGAGATGTAAGCCAGATGGGTGGTCAACTGAGTGTGTGTAAGAGAATAAATGCATGAAATGGTCAGAATAAGTCAAATATTCATGTAAAATTAAAAGATGAGTAAATGGAGAAAATCAGCAAAATTAGACTACTTGACAGAAAACGTATGGAGCCAAAGCCAAAAAAAAGAGAAGGGCAGTGGACAGATAACTATCTCCTGATGGCAAAAAGAAAAAATTATGAGATGAAGAATTAATAGCGATAAAATAATAAGCATTATGTATATCAATATCCACCAATATCATCCAATGGTTACAACTAAAAAACTTTTGTAATGACATGTATTCCAACTTAAAATAAGGTGTCTCCAGAAAAAGATGAATTACAGTATGGAGTAATAAGGAGAACTTGATATTTCAGTTAATTGATCTTAGCCAATACCCAATGAAGAAGATGAAAAGGAAAGTAGTCATAGAGAAAAAAGATAATAACATGACTGGTTCAAAGTATCCATTGCTATAGAAGCAACTATAAGGCCTAAGAGAAAATCGTAATTAAATAAATATCTAAGCATGGTTTTTCACGGTTTCAAATACATACCTGGTTCATAATTGAATTTTTTTTTAGCCTCATTATGCAAGCCAATGTCATCCAATGACTAGAACTAAGAAATCTTTGTCATGACCTCATGTATTCCAACTGAAAATAGTCTCCAGGAAAAGATGAATTGAGACATGTCAGTGACAAGTGTCCAACTCCAGATTTGCTAGCAACCACAAAGAGATAGGAACAAAAACCAAGGTAAGTGATTTAGCTTGTTCCCTTATAAAGGAGATTTGAGATCCAACAGACAAAATGGGAAATATAACCTGAACAGAAGAGAGTCACTGAGTGAGTCAAGAAGACTCAACTTGTCTACGTGTACTTGTCACTTGGTATGGTCAAAATGAGAGAGTAGAAGATGCTGGTGTCAACGAGAAATACAAAAGGGAGGTAAAACAGAAACCTAAACATTACTTGCTAGACATTTTGAAGTGAGTACTAGAATAAATCTAAATGATAAAACCATAATCACAGCATGTGAAGAACTTCTGCAAAAACAAACAATGCAGGGAAGTGGATGACAAGTATCTTATGGAAAGTATAGAGATTGAAGAATTGAATAGTCTGAACATAACATTAGTACTTATAAAGTTTAAGAGAAATTAGTTCAAGATCTAAAATATAACATACCTGACAAAAAGAAAATTAGACAAAGAAACTTTTTCAGAATTAGGTCTAGCTGTAAATCCTGCTTCTCAACAATGAAGGTGAATAGGTCTGAGCAAAGTTAGTTGTTGTTTTTTTCTTCTTGTTTCATCTTGAGAAAAAGATAGGTGTTTCATAAATAGTATTCACATAAATGTGAAATCTACCAAGGGCAACAGCAAACAATTCATAATTAATGGTTTTTATACTTTGATCAATAAGGGCTCACAATCCTGCCACATGTTCTCCCTGCATGATAGAAGAAGACTATGTGAGTAAAGCCTCCAAAGTAGTTGTAGAATTTACAATATTGGTAGAATCTTATGCAGCAGTTAATACTGACAAAGTAAGAAGTTAATAGCATGACTGTCAACAAGAAAATCTGAATTATGGTGTACAATCTGAGCTTATGCAAGTTCTCCTGACACATGCACAATAAATCACTTGGAAGGTTATAGTGAAGTAATGGTAAGCTTGCATCAAAAACATTCAGAACTTTGAGTCACATGGTTGTTGACATCAGATGGGCAGCTCATCAAAGAAAGGCTATCACTATTTCAGAAATAAGTATATCAGTGAAATATAACTGATGAAAAATATGCAGTGAGGTTTACATTATATGTACATGTTTTGTGACTGCTCAAAATAGAAGAATCTTCTCCACCCAATCTCTGATATCTGAGAAACTATGATAAAGTTTGTGTAAATAGCATCCGTTTCTTGTCCAAGTATAGTGTATTTGATATACACTCTAATCAAAGAATGATATAAGCTGCGGAAGGAAATAATTCTGTTACTTTATGCAACATTTTACTTTCTTTCACTCACCTTAACAACAGAACATGTAACAATTTTACATATTCATATCTTAACTATAACTTTGGATATTTTAGAAGCTCACAATGGCCCAAAATATTTATGTTTAAAAGAAATTAGATTAATCTCAAACACTCAGTACACAAAAATCTTACTTCAGCAACATCATGGTAGTGGTACCATTTTAGTGAACGTAGTAACTTGGGTAAAGAATGAGGAAACCTGTGTAAACAGTCCTGTCTTAAGAACCAAATGAGATCTTTATCTTGTTCATGCATCTGATGAAGTGGATCCTGAGCACAAATTTCAGACAGATGTTTGCGATAGGCTTTGCTTGCATGATGAGGCTTTAAAAAAATGTATTCAATTATGAATCATACATGAATTTGAAACCATAAAAAACCATTCACAGATATTTACTTAATCAACAAAAATATATTAAGGTGTTTTGATATGAAATTTAGAAATTAATTTACACAGTACCTATTTGCTGACAGTTCTGTACTGCCTTTCAGACTTCAAACAACTAAGAAGCTGTGTATGTATATCATTGTGCTAATAAAAATGTAATGATAATATTAAAGCAAATATTTAACAATGCATTTAAGTGAAAGTATTGTTACATGCAAAAATATTAAAAGTATAATATGTATAAAATATGAGTTTAATACACTAGATTGTTGTTTAAAAAACTATATTATATACTTTTTGTGCCAATTTAAATTTCAACTTAAGTTTTTGTAAATCCACATAACTTAATTTCAAGTGGATTGTAATATTAAAATTTAAAATTAAAAATTTAGAATTTAAGAAAAAAGTTGAAAATTTAATGTATGATCCACTGTATTAATATTTGAAGATATTGACTGATATACATTTATGTATGCTTAATTTTAATTTTGTACACAATTCAAAAATACTGATCTCAATCCCATTAGAGTTTAAGCAATTGATCACTTAATTTAAACTTTTAAAAACAGAAGAAAAAGAAATTCTTGCATGACAATTTTCTGAATGAAAGTGTAATTACCACTTAAAAATCTTAAAATATCCTAACAAATCATACTCTTTGTATCAATATCCTGTTCACCAAAAAGACTGAATAAAATATTTTAAGCAACAAGCTTTGCAAAACCTATAGTAAAACAGGTTTTCAAATAAAAAAAAACACAAACATACTATTCCATCAGTATCTTCATAGAGATGTTCCTTGGCATAATCTAAAATCTGAAAGTAAGTTAATATACACTTTATATTTTTTTTACCTGCCAATCTTCTAATGCTAGCTTTATTTGAAACAAAAGCAAATAAAATACAAATATTATAAATCAAACATAACTAGCAAGTAAAAGAATACACCACTTCAAGAACTTTATCTATTGTCCACTAATTATTTATTTGTGAAATTGCATAATCATTTTTTAATGCAAGATATTAAAATACATTCTTCTATAGTCAGCTCTTCCAAAAAACATAAAATATAAGTACACAGATTTAATGTTATTTTGACTGTCAAATTAAATGTGTCTAATTTCTGTACCACTAAATTATATAGCATTAAGAAAGTTTTATTTACCTTAAAATTTTGATGTAAATTACTTTTAAGCTTTTGAAAGCAACAAAATATACAAGTTTTTCACTTACCATTTATTTTAAAATCTAAACTTTTTGTATAATTTTGCTTTTGATTAACCTCTACTAATTTAAGAAGATCATGTAACTTCATTAACACTTTCACCCACCCATCCTTTCTATTCATCATACTTCCTGTTTTGATAGGAACCATTAGGAAGTCAAATCTTCATTGATCAGTGCTATCAAGTGCACTGATGTCACGACTAGGTACACCTATCCACTTTTCACATCCTGTTTATTTCCTAGTGATTCCTTTCAAACAACACAGCATGGTGATCATCCTTACAAGTGAATATTAACAGGAACAGCTTGCATTCTTCAATATTCTAGAAAGTTAAAACTATTTGTAACTTTGTTTAAAAGAACAACAAGTTGAGCTTGATCATAATAAGTCTTTCTTGAAAAAGACACAAATTATGTTTAAAAATATTTAACTGCACGATCTATTAATAGTCATTTTGAATATTTGGAAATTACCTTAATTCAAAGGTTTTTGGAGTTGACAATTAATAAATATTTAATTATATTATCAAAAAAGTATTTTCATAGCAGGTTTAGAATGAAAGATCAAATAATACAGACCTTATTTAAAGGAGGATAGGAAACAGGATGTAATGAATGATATTTCTGAAAAGTGAGGGTGAGTCCAGTGGCATTATCTAAGTCAGGATTAGCCACCACAGTTCCCAGTGGATTAAGAAGATCATCATTCTGAAGTTCATAAGAATACCACCACATGTGTAAAGTTACTGTTCCTGTTTTCAAGAGGTTCTTAAAGTCATACACAGTTGTATTAACCCAAGCTATTGGATTGACATAAAGATCCTGAGGAGAGAAAACCAATAAAAACAAGTTATATCTAACAATTAGAAATACTTCTCAATAATGAAAACACAAATATCAAACTAATTTAATATGAAAAAGTAATGTTGAGAAAAGTTCTGCATATAGTTCTTATATGACAAGATAAGAAAAGGAAATAAGCAAATAAATATTATACATAAAAAATATTGTATATCACCAGAACTTAAAAGAGCTTCTTCAAAGAGAATATTACATTTAATGAACTTACAGGTCCAATACAGCGGTACTTGCGAGCTTTAATGCACTTCATAGAATGGGCAACTTCATAGACAACTAAACACAAACGAGTCATACGAGGAATATTACAGACTTCTAAATCAAACTTAAGCTCTTCTCTCCATTCAGCCTCACCACCTAGAACCACAACCGCTGTAGTTGATTGTAGCTCACAGAGAAGTTCTCCACCATGGCACAAACCTGCTTGAACTGCCACCTTCAAGAAATATAGGGCTCAAGGTAAACGTGTTTTTAGTACAAGACACTTCAAAATATCTTTGAAACAAGACAAACCTATATAAGTGTAGCTTTATTGAATTACACAAATACAATTTAATCAAGAGCCACATAACTAATGTTTCACAAAAATGCAAGTTGACCCCTTTAGCTAAAGTGTAGTTATACTACTTTAGCCAACAGAGTGACAAAATGATTGTGTGTTTGAAAGATTTACATTATAATATTGTTACGTCTCCGTTTGTTAATTGATTTTCTGTAAATTCGTTCCGACGAAACTTTAGCGACACAAGTCCTTTCTTAATAAAACTGGTTTATTCTTTCTGAATATAACTTTACCGATACACTTATTTTCAACAGTCGCTCTATAACAAATGCTATAACAACTAATGTTAACTTCAACAATACTTTCTGACTG